AATCCTCTTATGCAGTCACTTATATGTTTCCTCTTTCATCTCTTCAAATATTTTGAACATTTGGTTTTTGAGTTCTTGCCTATAGCTTGTTCTGCTTTAGTGTTCATGAGGTAAGCTCTGGGGGACTTTCGGGCTTTGGGGGTCAACTTTCTTGTGCTTCTATTGTTTTGGTGTTGAAGATCACTTAGGGTAAAGAAGCTCGGTCACTACTGTAGAGATCTCTTGGGTTAGATCCTGTCTCACTGTGCTACCTCTGGATTTTGATTCTATTTTGATGTTATAGTCTCGTTGTGATGTTTGAAGGTCATCATATGTGCAACCGTCTTCTGGGGGCTTGATCTCCAGTACCACTCAGAAAGGAGAAAATGAACCACAGTAATGTTGATGACACAGACAAATGAGATATTGGCATACACTAAAAGCCAATTAAAAGAATAACTATACTACCATTAATGATAGAAAATGAATCAGCAATCATAACAGAGTCAGACAAACCAGTTATGAACATGCCATAGGAATCAATAATAGCTACAACAATACCACCCTTAACAATAAAAAGAGATGTGCAATAATAATGTAGAAATAAAGACAAACCAAATATTGATTTACAGTAAATATCTAACTAAAGGCAATAACTATACCATCATCGATAATACAAAATAATTTAACAGTAACAGCATAGAGTCAATTAAATAACTGAAAATTAATAAAGCTTCATAGTATTTATAATAAAAATTGAGGAAGGGGAAAATAAAAGAAATAAAGTTTGAAAAAGAAAGAAAAGGAAGCTGAGGAGAGAAAAGTGAGATTAAAAATATGATTAAAGAATAAAAGAAAGTTAATATAATTAGGTAAAAGTAACAGAATATGACAAACAATAAAAAGAAAAGGAAGATAAGAAAAAAGACTAAAACCAAAGAGCAAAAGAAAGAAATAAAAAGAAACAAAACTACCCCCGCAAAAAAAAACAAAGAAAAAGAGAAATACCTGCAAAATTTGGTTAAATGTTTTTTTCCCAGGGCTGATGACATGAGAAGCACCTGATATGAGTTGGGGACAGTGAGTCACAATTAGAGTTTATTTTGTTTCCACACCCACTTTTTGCTGTGTGAATACTGTGTCCTGTTCCACCTTTCCTCCTGGGCATGGTCAGTCAATAACGTGGTATCTGCCTCTGTGCTTTATTCCATGCAGTGGCTCCTGGTGTTTGTGTCCTTCTATGTGTTCCAAATCATTCCTAGCTTTATGGCCTCTGGGTTCATGAAGTACTTCCTTTGCTCCAGATGCCTCTCTGTTCATACACCTCAAGATGTGGCAAATGTCCAAGCCAAGATATATCCTGATCATGTGGGCAGGTGGGAAAAGCAGAGCGACCCTGAACTCCGTGCTGAAATTTGGCAGTGAGAGGGAGTCAAGCAGTTAGCTGGACTTAGTGTTAGCACTTTCAAACACAGCCTCCTCAGAAAAACTACACAACCAGCCTGGTTTCTCACTACAGAGTGTGGTACCATTGCGTCCTTCGCAACCTGAGCTTGCCACTGCTTAAACGTCTCAGGGGATCTGCAACTAGCCCACTCCTTCACCATGACTATCCATTGCGGCCATCTCCTACCCAGTCACTGTGGTAGGGTGAAATTAGCAAAGTTATCCCATGACTTCTGATTCCCAGGGTAGTTCAGTCTTAATCAATAAACTCGTTCCCAAATGGCTTCTGATTATATCACTCCTAAGTATGGTGGACACTGAAATAAATTTCTTCTCCTACTCTAGACCACTATGCAGAGTCACTTTTGGAGTAACACCCCATGCTGTATTTGTGGCTTACAACAACCACGGGCTCCTTTTGGGGCTAATGCTGCCAGACTGTTTTCCCTGGGGTTGCAGACCTTCTCCAAGCCTACCTTGTGTGTGCAAAGACAGGACCTGGAGTTAGTACAGACTGCTTCATTCTTTTGTCTGCTTTGTCTTGAGTTTCTTCAGTTTGCAGTTTGTAGTTTTCCTGTCAGCTCTTTCTTGATTCCTGGGGCTCTATTTCCTTTTTCTCTTTGCTGAATTGTTTTCCAGGTGTCTCAAGTGCTAAAGAGGCTTTATTTTGCTGCTGGTCTTTACTTGGCCATTTTAAATCTCTATAACAGTTCTTTATTGGCATGGTTGCTCTCCTGAATGACTATGAGGGATAATGTGACATCATATAATACATGATATATGTGGCTTTCTTTCAGGATGGCATAGAAATGGAAAATGTCAAATTTGGCAATAACTCTGGCTATATCACTTATCATCATATCTGTTTGCCACTTATTAACCACACAATGCAATGACTTAAGACAAATATCCTGAGGTTTTATTCTGACCACAATTTATTTGGATTGGAAACATTGTTTTTAAGGAAATAATGTGTTCTATCAGGTTTCTACAAATAAAATAGATTTAAATTAAAAATAATAAATAAAATAAAGGTCTTCCAAACCTAACTGCTCCTCTAAAAAGAGTTTTGGTTGGGTCAAGAATAGTTAAAATTTTTATGATAGCTGAGCATGGTGGCATGCACCTATAATCCTAGCACTTGGGGGGCTAAGGCAGGATGATCACTGTAAGTTTGAGACTGGCCTGGGCTACATAGCTAGTTCAAGGCCAGCCTGGAATACATAGCAAGACCTTGTTTCAAAAAAAATTACCAATGAGTTATAAAATAATGAAAGCTTTGCATATTTAAATAAATATACATAATGCAGCCAACGTTGAATTCAGAGGAATACGACAGCCTTAAATGCTTACATTAGAGAATGATAACAAAATAGGAATTCACTTTAATAAACTTCTAGAAAAAAATACAGAAAAACTACCTCAGAGTAATAAAGAGGAAGGAAATAATAAAGATAAAAGCAAAGTCAATTACTTGGTGAACCTGACTAAGAAATAAATGCAGGTGTTTTTTAGCAATCAAACAAAAGTTCCTTAGTATGAAGTATAAAGCCCTTGATGAGTTGGCTCTTTTGAACCTCTTAACTATAAATGACAATGCCCCAACCATTTAACTCTTACCATTCTGGACCCCACTCTGTCTGAACTCAAGAGCCATACTGAGCCAGAAAAACTTTTGGGGTAGGGCTCCTGTCATTGCTCCTCTGTGACTTGTTTTCCACTGCCTTGCTTACCTACCTGCCCTGTCCAAATGCCCCCATCCTTCCAGGCTGGCTCTGTGGATCCAAACAAGCACAGCACATGCCAGCATGGAATGAGCAGTGGAGGGAACGGGTAAATCCAACATTTGTGGCAGGGTGGATGAATGTGTCAATAGGTGAGGTTCAGGCCAGCTGTGGAGTGGGAGGGGAGCTGGCTGGTGGAGGTGGCATTTGGCTGGTTCGTGAAGGAGAAAGGATTTCAGCCCACATGGAGCAGGGGAAAGGGCACCCCAGGATGAGGGAAAAGCATGACTGAACACAAGGCTGTGTGTGACAGGGCAGAATCATAGGGAAAATGGTGGGATGTTCCATGTGACTGCAGCATGGGGGGCTGGTAGATTGAGATGGATGAGTGTGGAAAAGTCAACAGGGCAGGTCACAGAGGGCTTCAGTGCTACACTGGTGACTTATGTTTCGTCCCCTCTGAGTGATGGGGGTGGCTAGACACAGGACTGTGAGGCTGGAGCTGTGGTGCTGTCATTTGCCTGAGCCCCTCCTTCACTGGGGTAGAGAACACAGGTGAGATGAAGCAGGCATCTGGGGGAGGATAGGGGATAGGAGGGGCAGATTCTGGCTCTGGGGGTCGGAGCAGGGTGTGAGAGGCACCGCACTGAATCCAGCCAGTTCCCCTTACTGATCCATTTCCTGCATGCCATTCCACCTCCATCCCAACCAGGGAGGAGCTAGGAGGCAGCTCCCAGCAGCTCCCCAGTCACCATGGAGAGTCACGCAGCTCCATCCATCTGTTTGGCCCACCTCCCACAGGGCCTCTGTGGTTATTTCTTTGTGTCAGCACAGTGGACCTCTTTGTCCTGAGCAGCCTCTCTCCACCTCCCTCCTACCCTCTCTCCCTTGCCTGTATTCCAAGAAGCACCAGCTTTGCTGAGGGACAGGCCAGGGCTCTGGCTTCCCCCACTGAATCTCTGTGCAATCCTAAAGAAGACAATTTGCTCCTTTGAGTCAAATAGGGCACTATTCTAAGGATTCAAACTCAGCAAGAATTGGCCCAGCAACAACGATGCCCATGGGGACCTCTACCCAGCCTTCATGCTGTTCCCCAGGGCCTCCTACTTATGCCTCCCACCTCATCCTGACCTTGCCTGATCAGGTGGCTACCATTCTCCCACTTGACAGATGAGCAATGCAAGGCTGGGGAACAGAGCTGGCTTTCTGGGAGTATAACCTATACAGTTATGGACATGACTTGAAGGTCTCTGTACTTGGTTTAATACTCTGCTGTCCCCATCTTGAAATTTAGTAATCTTTGAACAAGAGGCCCACATTTTCATTTTGCCCTAGGTCCTGCAAATTACAAAGCTATTCCTGCTTTGGGAGAGGTAGAACCTAGTCCAGGCTTCCTGCTCTGTAAGGCTGCCTCCCTCAGTAACTGCATCCTGGCATGCGAGGCTGCACTTAGCATCAGAGTTCCAGGCCCTACCTGGGAAACTTGAGGAGCACAGTTCCTGCCACAGAGGGAAGGAGACAGTGCAGGCCCATGCAGTGGTCTAGGCAGCAAGGAAGACAAAGCTGCTGGAATCAACCCAGCCATGTGTAACCACAGCCAACAGTGTAGGTCCCAATGCTATAGGCCAGCCATCACTTGGGAACCCAGCAGGGCCTTCCTTCCCAATAGGGTACAGTTCCAGAGCCAGGGTACCCACCACAGACTCACTGTGTGACTTTGGACTTTCACTTCCTCTTTGTGAGCCTGTTTTCCTATATGTAACATGGGAATAGTAATGCCTGAGGATTAAGTGAGATGCTTAACACGATTGCTAGCACAAAAAAGGTGATCACTAAAGAATTCTTACTCACCACAGATACAGAAGCTGGCCACATGACAAGGACGGTACTGAGTACTGGACATAACTGTGTACAGCATTCTCTCTGCCTGCCCTTGAGAGATCCTTGTTAGAGATCCCTTTTAGAGGGGGGAAATAGACACTGAGAGGGACAGCAACATGGCAAAGGCAGAGCACCTGGAACGGGGAAAGCAATGAACCAGAAAGTGGAGGTCAAAGGCAGAGAAGCATAAAGGGGACACGCAGGGAGAAGGAGCAGCAAATGTTAGGCAGGAGGTGGTCGAGGGCTCAGCATGGCCACTGAAAGGCAGAAGGCTTCAGTTTGAAGGTGTTCGGATGGCAGTGAGGGGTGACAGAGACATCACCCCAGCCAGGCTGGAGCCGGAACTAGGGAGAGGCTCTACTCCCGGCACTGATTCTCAGAGCAGGTTTTCTCAGGGGAAATGAGAGAAGTCGAAAGAGGAAAGATGAGAAGGTCTGCATGAGCCAAATGCCTCCACAGGGTTGAAAAGACAGGAAGCCTCCTAATGCAGGGGTGGGGGGAGCCAAGGCCAGGGCTTTGCCCCCCCGCCGACCTTCTGTGTTAATGGAACCCTCCCTATGCCCCTATGGCTCCATTACCCACCTCAGAGGGACCATTACACTGCCTGGGCCTTCACTGCAAGCCTGCCCTGGCCCCTGGGTTCAGGGGAGGCTTCTTCAATGCTACTCTACCCCTTGGCAGGTGCTTGTGTGTGACTCACTAGGTCTCAACTTCCTGGTTGGATCAATGTTTGAAATTCTTTTAGTCATAGAATCTTCTGTGTGCTTTCAACAATTTTTTTTTTACCAGGAAATGTAAATAAGTAAAATCATAAAAGCAAAGGTGCTTAAGTTGAAGCCAAGTGGGGATACTCTGGGTTGTATGAGAAGAGGACTCTGTTGAGGATGTGCTAGACTTGTGTTAGACCTCCAAAATCTCATCATGGACGTGTCTGGAGAAATGTTAGGGAAGCTGAACTTCCAGCCCCTCATTGGAGGAGCTACTAGCTCCTCAAACCTGGGGAACTCAGTATGGATCATGGGCAAAACTCTGAAAAAAAGAACTTTAGACAGGCCCGCAGATAAGGATTATTATTACTCTATTTTGCAGAAGTGGAGCCCGGGGCTCAGATAGAAATCACAGGAGAGATGAGACAAGACTGTGGGGTTCTAGGACAAGGCTCTTTCCTCTGCTTTCCAGGCCTAAGTCATCTGATTGGCAGATCAGACACCATGTATCTCTGGGATACAGTTTCTTTTTTTTTTTTTTTTTTTT